CAACCAATGTCCTAGTGAAGTTCAGCCCCTAGAACTCAACTCCACCACTCTCGCTGACCATATGGACAATGGAAGCAGTCTGGATAATTAATGGACCCTTGGTCCAAAATGATGACCTCCTGGCTGGAAAATCCCTCCTGTTCTTTCACGCAAACATGACCAGGCCACCACCCACCTCAGCCTGGGTGTGGACACCACACTGGCCAGTGGGCCTCATTGTACTGAAATGCTCCTGGTCTTCACACAGGCAGGACCCTGGCTAGTTCCAGCATCTTCCAGACAATAAATTACAACCCACAGTTGTCACTGAAATCTACACCTTCCGTTTGCCCAGGGAAGTCCAAGTTCTGCCTGAAAGAACCTCTCGGTGGGGCCATGCTTCTGCTCCTATTCCCAGCGGAGCCTGTCTCTTACAGGTCCCCAGAAACCTCCATCACATTGGGTCTCAAGTCCGAAACCATCTGACAAAGCAGAACTCAGATAGTGTCTTTGTGTGTGAGTCGGGCGTGGGAACATTTGGGACAACAAACCACTATTGCCTTTGTCATCCGGGGATGACTTTTTGAAGCACAAAATGGTATCTGATCAGACTCACAGCACAAGGCTGCTTCTGAGACAGGTTGCCTGGTTCCTGAGCTCAGCGGAACCATAGACGTGTCTCTCCTCCCTCGCTGGGAAGCAAGGCTTCTTTCCAGGACAGCTGCTGGTCACCAGCGTGAGTATTTAAAGATATTCTGAAAAGTGAGCCGAGCAGAAACAGCTCCGCAAAGCACGTTTAAGTGTAAGGTTGTTGTTGTTGTCGTTAAGTGCTGCAGAGTCGGTTCCAACCCATAGCGACCCTGAACAGGGTTTCCGAGGCTGTAAATTTTTACAGGAGTAGAAAGCCTCATCTTTCTCCCACGGAACAGCTGGTAATTTCGAACTGCTGACCTTGCAGTTCGCAGCCCGATTCATACCCACTACGCTACTAGAGCTCCTCCTACGTGTAGGGACTGCTTGTAAAATACCATTTACCAGTCCCAATGAAGTTCTGTCCTCTTGAGCAGAGTGTGGGCATGCTACACGCGCAAAGGTGGGCTTCCAGCAAGTTCTGTCAACTGCCAGATTACAAAGCGGAAAAGAGGAAAAACCAAAAGGCGTTCCCACACTGTGCCTGCTTGCGTCCCCTTTCTTACTTACTCTTTTCTGTTTGCTTCCTTCTTCTTTCCCCCAAATGCACTGCCTGCTTCTCAGCCCCATTAGGTTCAGAATATGTGGTCAAAGCTTTGAATCTCAGTATGATTCTAAGGCTATAAAGGTGGCCGCCATCTACCGAGCTGTGTGGCTACCACTGAGCACGTTCACGCTTTGACCCAATATCTGAGTGTGGTAAGTGATGTGCGAGAGAAGGCGTCCCCAGAGACGGCGAGTCAGGCTGGCCCGATCCCGGTCTGACCTTACCTTCACAGCGTACTCGGCCTCGGTGGCCTTGTGCACGCATCGCTTGCACACGGAGTAGGAGCCCACGCCGATGTCCTCCTTCATCTCATAACCATCGGTGAAGTGGATGTTGTTCCCATGTAACTGCTGAGAGATGGACCCAGGAGACAGAGACCCATGAGCAGTCCATCAAAACAGCCACTACCACCAGAAATGGGGGACAGAAGATCTCGGGTAGTGACCCGGATGACCCCATCCCTGCACCCCTTGGGCCACACTCCTGTGTCTAGTGGCTGCCATGTGTTCCCTGAGGGAGAACAGGAAGCAAAAGTGAAAAGATACAAACACAGGGAGACACAAACTCTGGGCCTTGTGTTCTGACCTAGCACGTGGAAACAAACATCGCCCGACACCATGGCTCCAAGCTGCAGCCAGCAAGGGCCTGTGTACACACTCCTGCCAAGTCTCCATGCTACACAAGCCATCTGTCCCCAAAAGACTACAGGGAGAGACAACCACAGGCATCCAACCGACCCTGAGTTGGTTCTTATACAAAATACAATCATAATTGTCCTTGAAAGACTGGGCACATCTATAAGGTGGAAGAACCAAGTTCAAACCCACTGCCGTTGGATCCATTCCAACTCAGAGACCCTGGAGGGCAGAGTAGAAAAATGGGGGTCCCGAGGGGTTCCAAGCTCTTCATCCTTGGGGAAGTAGGCTGCACCATCCGCTGCAGAGCATCTAGTGGATTTGAACCGCCCACCTTTTGATTGGCAGCAGTGTGCTTGAACCCTAGTGCCACCAGGGCTGTCAAGTGGAAGACACCTTAAAAAAATGCTATCTTCTATTGCCCTCCTGAAGAACAGAGTTCACGGGACACAGGGGGCCCCCACTGGCTCCACAGGGGACACCCACATCGGACCCCAGAGCCTTCCTTTCTCCGTGAAGATGAGTGTGAAGCGGGGTCTGAGCACTGACTCAGTCAAGCTTGAGAACCCCCGCCCCCGGGACATGTCTCCAGGAATGAAATAAACCCAGACACGCTGGAGAACAGGAGAGTCGACTCTGTCCACACCCTGGCTGACTCGGGTCTCCGTGCAGGTGTGTGGTGCCCGGTGTGGGCTGGGACCGGGGCGGGGCGCGCTCTGGCTATACAATGGGATGAACCACGACCTTGTGGAACTTGTGCTGGGAAGGTGTGTGGTGTGGGCTGGTCCCCGGAGTGGAGCGGACTCTGGCTTTCGGGGGGCTACCTGTACAACAGGATGAACCGCAACCTTGTGGAACTCGTGCTGGGAGGGTTCATGGACCAGGCTCGATGCCACAAAACTGAATCCTCGAAACAGATGGTGCGCGTTGGCACTGGGGGGCACGCCGGGGGAATCTGCAGAGACAACCATGGAGTCAGAACTTCCCAGGGGGCTGCAGGGCCACGTGTGTGTGTGTGTGTGTGTGTGTGAAAGAGAGACCATGGTGTATTTGTGTGTGCAGCGTGTGTGCGAGTACATGCCAGATGTGCATGTGTGAGAGTGAGGTGCATGGATGCATTTGTGTATATGTGGGGTGTGTGTGTGAGTACATGTCAGATGTGCATGTGTGAGAGTGGGTGCATGGATGCATTTATGTGTATGTGTGCGAGCGTGGTACATGAATGCTTCTATGTGCATGTGGGAAATGTGTGTGTTTTGGGTCTGTAAGAGTTTGTGTGGTGTGTATATATGTATGTCTGTGTGTGAGTGAGTATTTGGAGGTGTGAATGTGTGTGTGGTGAATGAGAGAGAGTGTGTGTGTGGTATGTGTGCTTATGTGTGTGCATGTGTGAGTGCGGGCTGTGTGTGTATGTTGGATGCTGAGCTGTATGACCCCACGCTGCCTGGTGGGTGGTCCCGGTTGGTTGTTTTCCATCTGGCAGAACTACCTAAAACTCCAGGGAAACCAGTGACTCATCTCCGCAGGCCACTCTCTGAGTTAATGCACAGTCCCCACCAGGATCCACCCCAATCTACCTCAGGGGTGCTCCAGGGTCACGGCCCAGGGAGCTGGTCTCTGGGCATCTCTGTTGAGAAACTCACAGTGAACCTCTTCAGGGCTGCAGTAGGGGACACAGACACTTCTGTGCCCCCAGCCTCCACTCTGCTGGCCCAGACCAGGCACGAGAAAGCAGTGACTATAGCTCCAGTACCTTCTAGTAAACTTCCAGATCTGCTCTGTGAGACTCAAGTTCTCAGAGTGAAAACAAAGCTGAATGATAGCATACCAGAGGTGAAGCCCCCCCCCCCCACTGTACAATGAATTCCTAGATCAAGGAGAAAATGGCAAAATGCCTGGTTTCCCCACTCCCACCAAGCGGGATGGGAAAGGGGTGAGTAATGGGTCCACAAAGAAGAAGTACCCATCACTAGTGTACAGACCAAGGGGGACCAACCTTGCTACTGAACAACATACCCAGGTTGTAATGAGACAACGCTTTTGTCTAACATCTTAACAAAAAAGCAACCAGCCCATCCAGGTTTGGCAAGGGTATGGACAACCTAAAATTGTTATTTGGTGCTGTCGAGCAGTTCCAATTCAGAACAGCTCTGCGCACAACCGAATGAGACACTGTCCTGTTCTGCGCCAGGCTCACAGGTGTTGGCTACGTTTGAGTTCATGGTGTCACTTCACCTGACACAGCCTCCGTGGGCCAACCCGATGGATCAAGTACACACGTCCTGTGAGAGGCAGGTCTGCATGTAGGAATCTATCCTACAGAATTCTCTTCAAGTGTGTTTGGAAGTAAATGTAGACAGTCTTAGCTGAGGCAATGCATGTAATAGAAAAAAGAAATAAGAGAGACAAAGTAAACATCCATCGTGAAGAACGTAGCTAGATCAGCAGTAGTCCCCGACACCAGGACACTTTGTCACAGTGAGCGTACCGTGAGCAAGGCCAGGAAGGCAGGGACCGACACAGAAGATTACTAATACTGTCCCATAAAATAGCAATGACAATGACAAAAGGAAGCTGTACAAGAAAATTAAAAATATATAACATATGGGGGACTTCAGAAAGTGCATGGGAAACTCCATTATGTTTTAATGCCATTTTCCCACGGACTTTTTTGAAGCTTCTTTGCATTTCAACATTGTTATTGTCGTTGTTATGTGCTCTTAAGGAATCTGTACATAGACCAAGAGGCAGTTGTTCGAACAGAACATGGGAACACTGAATGGTTTACGGTTAGGAAAGGTGTGCGCCAGAGTTGTATTATTTCACCATACTTATTCAATATGTATGGAGCTCTGGTAGCATAGTGGTTACGAAGTGGGTTGCTAACCTCAAGGTCAGCAGTTTGAAACTACCAGCCGCTCCGCGGGAGAAAGATGAGGCTTTCTGTTCCCCTAAAGATTCACAGCCTCAAAAACCCGGTACAGGGTCTCTATGGGTCGAAACCAACGCAACGGCACTTAACAACAACAATTCAGTCTGTATGCTGATTAAATAATCTGAGAAGCTGGATTATATGAAGAAAAACGTGGCATCAGGATTGGAGGAAGATTCATTAACAACCTGCGATATGCAGATGATACAACCTTGCTTGCTGGAAGTGAAGTGGACTTACTTCACTTACTGATGAAGATCAAAGAGCACAGCCTTCATTATGAAATAGTATGTACCCAAACCAAAGCTGGAGTTCTGGTGTGGCGCTGTAGGATCAGGACTGAACAGCTCACTGAAAAGTTGGTGGTTCAAACCACCAGCCTTTCCTTGGAAACTCTACACAGGGTTGCTATGAGTTGGGACAACTCAATGGCACTTAACAACAAGAAACCAAATCTATTGCCACTGAGTCAATTCTGACTCACTGTAAGCCCAGAGGACAGAGTCCAACTGCCCCATTGGACTTCCAAGGTTTTTATTTACAAAGCAGACAGCATCATCTTCCTCCAGTGGCACGGCTGGTGGATTTGAACTGCAGACTTTTCAGTTAGCAGCCCATCATGTAACTACTGTATCGCTAGGACATTTAAAACGATATATATAACATGAGCAGACAAAGTAAAAGCATTATAACGAAATGCGCAAAGATCAGGAGTCAGAAAACCAAAAGGAAAGATCATGCTCATCAATTCTCCAGCTGAAAGAACTGAAGAATATATTCAGGCCTCAACTTGAAATATTGAAGGATTCTCTGGGCAAAATATTGAA